AGCGCAACTTTGGTTGCTCGAGCGGTCTACAAAACACTGCAAAAGTACTGGTTGCTTGATTCTTAGGCTCGAGCTAACTTTCTATCGCTCGAGCCATGAGTAATGCAAAACAAGGTTCACTCAAGCGCAAGTTTTGCCGCTCAAGCCACCATGCAATTCTCTGTAAAACTTTTGGGAGCTTAACTTTTACGCTCGAGTGCCACTTTTTGCGCTCTAGCGAACTGGTCGAATTCTGGAATTTCCAGAACTGTGTTTGAAATTCAAAACATGTTTCCAAAGGCTCAAAGCTTGCAAGTTGGGCACAAAGACATGGAAAAACATTATGTGACAAGAAAACACTCTCAATTCGAAATCAATTACTCAAAATCATGAACCACTTTCTCAATTTGAACTCAAATTTTAAGTTATGAACCATGTATGGCTTAACTTGAATTCTCTTCTTTCAAAACATGATCAAATGACATGAGGAGTATGAAAACATGAAGAACTCTTCAAGTTGAGGTGTAAAAGTACCATGCATGTAAGAATTTCATGAATTCCAAACTCAAATATGCATGCATGTACATGATCATGCTCAAACTTTACATAACTATGATGATTCTAGCATATACTTACTAAATTCATGAAAGAGGCCTCATATCTTGGTAAATTCAATACCTTTATGGATTATCTACAAGAATTGAGTGTGATTACCATACCTAGAATTAAGTTCAAGTGAAATCCTAGCTCAAATCTTCAAGTCTCCCACAAATTCTCTACAATTCTGCTCTCCATCTCTCTCTAGAGTTAATTCTCCTTCTCTCCTCTCAAATCTCAGCTCATGTATGTATATTATGTGAGTTCAAGTCATGAGTTGGCTTTTATATGGTATAATTAACTTAAGTTAATTAAGCTTGTTTAGAACTAATCAATTTCACTTAATTCTAATTAATTTCAATCAATTATTCTAATTATTTTCATTCGAATCAAATTTTGACTAAAGTTTCCATAAAATTCTAAATATTCTAATTAGCCTATTGGATTAGTCAAATTTGATTTTTGAAGCCGTTTGGGCTTTCAATTTTTGATTCTAAGTCGATAAGTGAATAGATATTCTATGTAATAACAAATAATCACAAAATTAAGCATTTAATCACACAATTAACACACAATCATGCAATTAAGTTTATTGAAATAATATAATATAGTAGTATGGAGGTCGGGGATGTCACAATCTTCTCCCCCTTAGAAAGTTTGGTCTTCCAAACTTAAGTTACCTTCAAACGGAAACAAATGCAAGTATCGTTGCCGCATCTCATCCTCTTTTTCCCAAGTGGCTTCTTTCCCATAATGTTCTTTCCACTCGACTTTCACCATAGGAATAGTTTTGTTCCTTAGTTGCTTTACTTGCCGATCAATGATTTGAGTGGGCCATTCTTCATAGATCATGTTCTCATCTAAAGCAATCTAATGGTGATCAATCACATGGAACGGATCTCGAAGGTATCCACAAAACATGGATACATGGAATACATTATGCATTTGTTTCATTCCCCTTGGCAAAGCGATACGGTAGGCAACATGGCCCAATCTCTCAAGAATCTGAAACGGTCCAATGTAGCGGGGAGTCAATTTTTCCTTTCTACCAACCTTGTCTGCCCTTTCATCGGTGTCACTTTGATAAATACATGATTCCTCGTTTCATACTCTAAATCCTTTCTTCGTTGATCTGCATAGCTTTTCTGTCGGCTTTGTGCAGTTTTGAGCCTTTGCTGAATGATTTTTACATTCTTGATTGTTTCTTGCACAAGTTATGTTCCATAGATAGCTCTATCACCAAACCTCTATCCAACAAACTGGCGACCTACACCTTTTGCCATACAATGCTTCATATGGTGTCATACCGATAGTAGCGTGGAAACTATTGTTATAAGCAAACTCAGCTAATGGAAAATATGTTTCCCAGCTGCCTTGAAAATCCAAAACACACATACGAAGCATGTCTTTTAAGGTCTGAATAGTCCTCTCTGTTTGTCTATCAGTTTGCGGATGAAATGCCGTACTAAACCTCAATTCTGTCCCCAATGCATCCTGTAGACTATGCCAAAATCTAGATACAAATTTAAGATCTCTATCTGATACAATAGACACTGGAACCCCGTGTAATCAAATAATCTCGTCAATGTAGATAGTAGCAAGTCTATATAAATTAAAAGAAGTTTTTACAGCAAGAAAATGAGCAGACTTAGTCAATCTATCAACTACAACCCAAATAGAGTCCATACCTCTAGGTGTTCGAGGTAGGCCAATAACAAAGTCCATGGTTATGTGCTCCCACTTCCATTTCGGAATAGGGAGGGACTGAAGCAAGCCTGTTGGTTTTTGGTGTTCCGCTTTTACTTGTTTGCATTGTAAGCATTTAGAGTTGAAGTCGCCCCATCTCTCTTTTCATGTTTGGCCACCAATACACTAACTTCAAATCTTGTTATATCTTGGTATTTCCGGGATGCATAGCAAACACTAACTTGTGAGCCTCCTCTAAAATTCTCCTTTTAAAATTTGCAACATAAGGAACACATAATCTCCCTGAAATTTCAATACTGAGTCTTCAATTGTGAATCTGAGTTTTGGTTTGGCTTCAAACTCATCACAAATCTTCTTCAAAAACACATCACTCATTTGCTTTTGTTTGATCTCTTCAAAAATTGCTGGTTGTGCGGACATTACAGCTATCAAGCTATTTTGTTCAAAAAAACACTACTTCTATTTCAAGCTTTTCAAATTCTTGCAGCAATTCTTTCTGATTTGTAAGCAAACAGGCTAGATTCCCCATATTCTTCCTACTAAGTGCATCTACCACAGTATTGGCCTTGCCCGGATGGTAGTAAATCTGTAAATCATAGTCCTTGATCAGTCTAGGCTAGCGTCTTTGTCGCATATTCAATTCCTTCTGGGTGAAAAAGTACTTCAAACTTTTATGATCGGTGTATACTTCACATTTGTTTCCATACAGGTAGTGACGCCATATCTTCACTGCAAACACAACTGCAACAAGTTCCGGGTTATGTGTTGGATAGTTTTTCTCACGTGGTCTTAATTGTTGGGAGGCATAAGCAATCACCATGCCATTTTGCATTAAAACACAACCTAAACCCTTGTAAGATGCATCACTATAAATTACAAATCCTTCCGTACCTAAGGGTATAGTAAGGATTGGAGCTGTGGTCAATCTTGCCTTTAGTTCTTGAAATGTAGATTCTCTTTGATCTGTTTACTCAAATGGTTCTCCCTTTCGAGTTAATTAAGTCAATGGCACTACAATCTTTGAGAAGTCTTTAACAAACCTCCGATAATAACCAACCAGACCCATAAAACTGTGAACTTCTGTTAAATTAGTCGGAGTAGGCCAATCAAAAATTGCTTCGATTTTCTAAGGATCAACTAAAATACCATCTCTGTTAATCAATACCCCAAAAATGTTATTTGATTAAGCCAAAACTCACACTTCTTAAATTTCCCATACAGTTGTTTTTCTCTAAGTATCTGAAGAGTCATTCTCAAATGCCGTTCATGTTCGTCTTTACTTTTCGAATAAATCACATGTCATAAATGAATACAACAACAAAATCATCTAAGAAATGTTTGAAAACCCTATTCATGAAATCCATAAATGTTGCGGGTGCATTAGTGACTCCGAAAGGCATGACTAAAAACTCATAATGTCTATACCTGGTTCAAAAAAGCATTCTTTTCAATATCTTCAGCCCTCACTTTCAACTGATGATATCCTAATCTCAAGTCAATTTTTGAAAATACCTAGGCCCCTTGCAACTGGTCCAATAAATCATCAATACGTGGCAATAGATATTTATTCTTCATTGTTACCTTGTTGAGTTCTCAGTAATCAGTACACAATCTGAGAGTCATATCTTTCTTCTTTACAAAAAGAATCAGCGCACCCCACGACGAAGTACTCAGACGAATAAACCCCATATCAAGCAATTCTTGCAACTGAACTTTCAATTATTTCGTTCAATAGTAGACATACGGTAGGGAGCTTTAGAAATTGGTTGTGTACCCGGTATTACATCAATTGTAAATTCAATTTCTCTATCAACAAGTTGTCCAGGCAATTCATCAAACACATTAGGGAAATCTCTCACCACTGGTTTATTGTCTAGACCAATGTCCATAGTTGGTTCAGTTATTACACTACACAAATACCCTTGACAACCTTTACTCATTAGTTTTTGGGTTTTTATAGCAAATATAAGGTATGGTATTTAGATAGCCAATCTATAAAATTTATTCTGTCCGAGAGGTCGGAATATCACTTGTTTTAAAGCACAATCAATGGTTGCATGGTATTTAGATAGCTAATCTATTCCCGAAACAACATCAAAATGTCTCATGTCTAAAGATATTAAATCAGCATACAAAACAGCATTTCCGAGTAATAATTCACATGCTACATATACAGATGAGCATAACATGGATCCCCCCCCATAGGTGATGCAACATAATACATATCTCAATGTTTTTATAGGTCTATCCAAAGTTTCAACAAATACTATAGAAACAAATGAATGTGTAGACCTTGAATCAATTAAGACATAAGCAGGTTTACCACAAATGGAAATTGTACTTGACACCACTGCCTTTGTATTTTGAGTGTCCCCTGGAATTAATGCAAAGACCCTTCCTTGCCTTTGTTCATTTCTTGTGGTAGATGGTGTTACAGATGGTTTTGCTATGGGAACTGATCCAATTGAGCTCGTAGTACCTTGGTTACCACCCTAACGTGACTGTGTACAATCTTTTGCCATATGTCCAACTTTTCCACATTGATAACAGGCTCCTGTGGCGCGATAGCAAACACCCCGGTGCTTCTTTCCACAAGCAGTGCAAGTAGGTATTGAGTTGCCACTTTGGGTTGACCTCGAATTACTGGAAGCCCCAGATTTGGATTTCTTGCTTGATGCGGACTATGCTCCCATGTTAAAGTTTTTTCTTTTACCTTTTCATTTGAATTTCTCACTGCGGTCGGCTATGTTCTTTTCCAACATCAATGCTTTATCTAGCATATCCACATATTTTGGCAATTTAAGCACATTGACTCTATCCAAAATCGAGTCACGTAAGCCTCCTTCAAACTTTCTGGCTTTCTTGTAGTCTGTGTCAACCATGTGTGGCGTGAAACGAGCTAACTCTGTAAATTGAGCCTCATATTCGGCAACTAACCTGTTCCACTGTTTGAGTTGTTCAAATTCAGACACTTTTCGATCTCTAACACGCTGTGGGAAGTACTTTTCATAGAAAATTTCTAGGAAACGGGCCCAAGTGATGCCCCTATTTTCTTCTCGTACCAGCATCCACCATCTTCTGGCTTCCTCTTCTAATGTGAATAAGGCCAATTGTACCTTCTGACCCTCTGTGTAGAGAAACACTTCAAATAGTTTGTCTATGCCCAAAACCCAGGCTTCAGCTTTAAGTGGATCTATGCTGCCATAAAATAAAGGCGGCTTCATTTTCTTGAACTCCTTAGTCAATGCAATAGTGCAATCACGAATCTAACACCCTGGTACTGGAGGTGGCATAGGCATTGGTGATGGGGATAGTGGTTATTGCTACTGTTGTTGCCACTGTTGCTGTTGTCTTATAGCTTCAGCTATGTCCTGCATCATTTGTTCCATTCTGTCCAATCTTGAGGAGGTTGCCTCCTCTAGCTCATCACCTCTTGTTCTCACCATTTTCTAAATGAAACTTTGTATTATGATAAACATAATATATTTACATACACAATTTCACACATACAATCACAAAAGTATCTCACTCTAATATTCAAATGTACATGAATGCAATCCTGAAGTCTTTTCTAGACTCTCTATAGCCCAATGGACAAGTGAGTGAGATTTAACTCGTGCTCTAATACTACTTTGTCACAACCCAAACCCGTCCTTATAGGTTTAGCGTCATGACCGGCCAATAATCTTAAATTACCTACGGCCTTTATCAACAAAATCAATCTTAGTATAATTAGCGGGGCTTAGTGGAAGCAATAACTGAAAATAATCCATTGAGCTATGCTTATATGAAAAGACTTCACATTAAAGTTGTGCAACCATTCTTAAAGTGAAAACATAACAAAAATTTAAAACATCTAATCCATATATAACAAAACTCCATAATTATGATTAAACAAAACCCCTATACAAAAACCAAAACAAATTTACAAGGTAAATGTTCATAATAAAAGGGGTTTAGACTTTGCTTGGCTCTGCTCGAGCCCAAGCTTGGTCCATCACGGAAACTCTTCAAAAAGGCAGACAATGGGGGTAGACTCCAAGGCAATCTCTATCTTTGATTCTCACCCTGCTCACCTACATATACATATAAATAGTGAGCTAGGGCCCAGTGAGTAATAACAGAATAAAAAGGCTATATGAATGAAGTTCAATAACATATCAAATACCAATTTCCAATTTTGTTCAAATCTTGATATCAATAACCATTTTATTCAATTTACATGGCACATCCAATAGAGTATCAATGTATCAATGACAATGGGACCACCAGGGTCAATCAATGGGACCATGATGGGTCATTTAATCATTCCGTATTCAATGTGACCACGAAGGTCTAACATCAGAGATCTCTATGTTTCAATTATTCCAATGGGCCACAGTATTGTTTCCCCCAGGCGAGAGTCAATGGGCCATGGTTTTGTTTTCCCCCAGACAATGGCCTATTGAACAATGGGTCACTGTATTATATCCCCCAAGTAAGGGCTTATTAAACAGTGGGCCACGGTATTATATCCCCTAGGTAAGGTCCTATTAAAGGACGCCATGATTACAATTTCAAATAGAACTTCATTTATTAAAGAAAATAGCATTTCAATAAACCATTCCATCAATCACATACCAATTTTGAGAACAATAACAATTTCAAAAATACAGATAACTTAAACATATCTTTATAAAGTTACTACTCATAGTGGGTTCTATTGATGCTGGGTCTCGGACGTCCACCTAAACAAAACACATAACAAATACACAATTGAAGCACCATGCAATAACCATTTTACTTTAATTCAACTCTTCTTATGTGTTTCTAACTCATTCCATGATTATATGAGTCCAATTGGTGCCTAATAGTATTTGAAATAATATGAGGATGCAAGTATGCACTTAAAAGAGTTAGTCAAAATTTACTGAAAATAGGGTCTTTGCCCAAGCGCAACTTTGGTCGCTCAAGTGGTCTGCAAAATACTGCAAAAGTGCTAGTTGCTTGATTTTTAGGCTCAAGCCAACTTTCTGTCACTCGAGCCATGAGTAATGCAAAACAGGGTTCGCTCAAGCACAAGTTTTGCCACTCGAGCCATTGTGCAATTCTCTGTAAAACTTCTGGGAGCTTAACTTTTACACTCGAGCACCACTTCTTGTGCTCCAGCGAACTAGTCGAATTTTGGAATTTCCAGAACTGTGTTTGAAATTCAAAACATGTTTCCAAAGGCTCAAAGCTTGCAAGTTGGGCACAAAAACATGCAAAAGCATTCTGTGACAAGAAAACACTCTCAATTCGAAACCAATTACTCAAAACCATGAACCATTTTCTCAAATTTGAACTCAAATTTTAAGTTATGAACCATGTATAGCTTAACTTGAATTCTCTTCTTTCAAAACATGATCAAATGACATGAGGAGTATGAAAACATGAAAAACATTCTGTGACAAGAAAACACTCTCAATTCGAAACCAATTACTCAAAATCATGAACCATTTTCTCAAATTTGAACTCAAATTTTAAGTTATGAACCATGTATGGCTTAACTTGAATTCTCTTCTTTCAAAACATGATCAAATGACATGAGGAGTATGAAAACATGAAGAACTCCTCAAGTTGAGGTGTAAAAGTACCATGCAAGTAAGAATTTCATGAATTCCAAACTCAATTATGCATGCATGTACATGATGATGCTCAAACCGTACATAACTATGATGATTCTAGCATATACTTACTAAATTCATGCAAGAGGCCTCATATCTTGGTAAATTCAATACCTTTATGGATTATCTACAAGAATTGAGTGTGATTACCATACCTAGAATTAAGTTCAAGTGGAATCCTAGCTCAAATCCTCAAGTCTCCCACAAATTCTCTACAATTCTGCTCTCCATCTCTCTCTAGAGTTGATTCTCCTTCTCGCCTCTCAAATCTCAGCTCATTTATGTATATTATGTAAGTTCAAGTCAAGAGTTGGCTTTTATATGGTGTAATTAACTTAAGTTAATTAAGCTTGTTTAGAACTAATCAATTTCACTTAATTCTAATTAATTTCAATCAATTATTCTAATTATTTTGATCCGAATCAAATTTTGACTAAAGTTGCCATAAAATTCTAAATATTCTAATTAACCTGTTGGGTTAGTCAATTTTGGTTTCTGAAACCATTTGGGCTTTCAATTTTTGATTATAAGTAGATAAGTGAACAAATATTCCATGTAATAACAAATAATCACAAAATTAAGCATATAATCACACAATTAACACACGATCATACAATTAAGCTTATTGAAATAATATAACGGAGGTCGGGGTCTTCACAAACACAGTATATGAATCTTAACAAATCCATAAGGTGAATGTATATGCAATGCTCGTGCCAGAATATTTTATATCTCTTTCCAAAACCATGCAATGCCAGGTTAATATCGTAATTCAAAAATCAATTCCTTTCCAATAGAAAACAGGGAGGTGAATCACATTCTGGGAATCTCAAAACAAATACAACCTTTCACAGAAATTTCATCCACGAGAAATTGTAAACTGGTACCTATGTAAACGTAGGCTATACAAGCACTACTATTGCTATTTCAAGGAAATTTTGTCCACAGGATCGGCACCCATGTATACGCGCGATTTTTAGAACTTTCACTATGGACACTCAGGCCAACTTATTTCAACGAGACAATACATACTTCCCAGATTCATCCATTTTTCTCAAAACGATAAACATTTCTAATGTAGAAGTGCTAGATAATGCTCAATGCAATTGAATGAGAAAATAATTTCAATTCTCATAATTTTCATGTAATTTCTACAACAATTATGGCTATCCTGCACTGATAGCCTAAAATAGATATTTTTAAACAGATAAACAATTATCAATAAGGATAAACTTTTCAAATTTCAAGATATGGGTATTAGTACATATCCAACTCCACCATCCTCATCAAAACCAATACAATTTCATATTCCCAACACCAATTTGATCATTTATATAAAATCAACATTTGACACAATTAGGGCAAAACCCCATTCCAAAATCAATTCTATGTATCGAAACCAACTATTTTATCACAACTTAATCTCATTTCCAACTCCACAACCATTCCCATGAAACCATTAGAAAAGCACTCTTTTGAGTTTTGACCAAAAACCCTAGGTTTGTTTCAAGAATCCCCAAAATCACAATATTGTTTAGAAATCGCAAATAACTAAGTTAAAACTCATAGAAGGTGCGAAGAATCTCTACCTCAAACTTAGAAGACGAGAAAGAGAATGGAGATACTTCAAAGACGCCGAAACCCAATTTTGTTCGGATCAAATGGAAGCCCACGGCGTGCTCTACCTTTTTAACAAAGGGACATGAGTGAAAAGATCGATGGATTTCGGTGTATTCGAGGGAAATAAATAAGTTTTAGAGAGAGAGTGAGAAAATTAGGGTTTTGAAATGTTTAGAGAGAGAGAGAAATGAAAAAGTGATTCAAAAATGACTCTTCACGATCTGATATACGCATAGATCGCTCGAGCGAAAGAAGTGTCGCTCGAGCGATCAGTCACAACAAGTTACACTGCTTAAGCGCAAGAAGCTTCGCTCGAGCGAAGAATACCAACTCCTAGAAGTTTTACAGACAGAAGACCACTGCTCGAGCACAAGAAGGCTTGCTTGAGCAAACACCGCTCGAGTGTAAGAAAGACCACTTGAGCGAAAAATGTCAATTGTCGCTCGAGCGAAGAAGCAAAATCTTGGGCAACAATAATTGAAAAAACAAGCTACCAACCTGTTCCAAACACAACCAACACATCTCAATAGCCAAACTCAAAGAGAAGTAAAGGGAAACAAGATATGGAAAACTATATAAGATAATGAAACCTGGATCCAAAGCATTCAATATGTCGGGTCTAAACCAGAATCGCTATAACCTTCCCCCCTTAAGGAATTTCGTCCTCGAAATTTTGAATGAAACAAGAAGGCCAAGTTTAAACCAATCACAACAATGATAATAAATCAAATTTACACCATGATCCATCCATCAGTCATTCATTCTCATTACCATGATAAACACGTGTTCATTACTGAACATACAATTTACATTTCCAAAACATATACAATGTTTATATTACATTAACATGGCAAAATTCCAATACATGTTTAAACATTAACAAATAGGTCCTAAGTGGCCTCCTCAACCCTGTGGTGTCGCCACAACACTTTTACCATAGGAACCTTCTTGTCTCGCAAGACTTGGTCTCGATTACCTAAGATTCTAACTGGTCTCTCCTCATACGAGGCATCTTCGTCTATCTCTAACTCCATCCAATCCAATACGTGTGATGGATCCCTCCATCCAATCCAACACGTGTGATGGATCCGGCTTAAAAAGTGCTTCTCCCATGACCCCTTAAAGTCCAGGACACAACCACGAAGCATATCCTCAAGGATCTAAATAGTACGCTCTGATTGCCCGTCAGTCTGAAGATGATAGGTGGTACTAATAGTCAACCTAGTACCCAAGGCACTCTGCAGGCTCTGCCACAACCAAGCCGTAAAACAGGAATCCCTATCCCAAACAATAGTCACAGGGACCCCATGCAATCAAACAATGTCCCTAATGTATAGGTCGGCAAGACAATCTATCGAGTCACTCGTGCGCATAGGTACAAAGTGCGCTGTCTTGGTCAATCGGTCAACTATCACCCAAATGGCATTAATACGCCATTGAGTCCTCAGAAGACCCACAACAAAATCTATCGTGACATGCTCCCACTTTCACTTGGCTATAAGCAATGGTTGTAACAAACCTACTGGCTTCTGATGCTCTGCCTTCACTTGTTGACAAGTAAGGCATCTTGACACAAATACGGCTACATCTTTCTTCATTCCCTTCCACCAAAATTGGCGACTAAGATCGTGATACATCTTTGTGCCTCCTGGATGCATCGTAAGTCATGAATAGTGAAACTCTCGGAGTATCTCCTCTCAACAAGACTTCAACATGAAGAGACGGTTAAGGTATTTAACACTCGAGTCAGCATACATGTTCAATCCTATTTCTACCTTCCCACTAGAGATCTTCTCCCGGAGGGTTTCTACCTCAAGATCATCTTTCTGTGCTTTTATAACTTGGCTCGCCAGTGTAGGTTGGGCAACTACGATAAACAAGGTAGCCGACTCAACAGACTCGCCAAAATGTAAGTCGAACTCACCAATAACACCTAACATCTCCCATTCTCGAATGACAATACTCATTACACTGTTAATGGATTTCTTACTCAAAGTATCGGCCACACCATTTGCCTTCCCCGAATGATAGTGTAATTCAAAGTCGTAATCTTCCATAAACTGCATCCACCTCATTTGCCTCAAATTCAGATCTTTTTGTGAAAACATGTACTGTGGACTCTTGTGATCAAAAAACACCTCAAACTTCTCACCATAAAGGTAATGCCTCCAAATCTTCAAGGCAAATATCATGGTTGCTAGTTCTAAGTCATAGGTAAGATAGTTCCTCTCATGTGTTTTCAGCTGACGTGAGCCATAAGCAACTATCTTCCCCTCTTACATCAAAACACAACCCAAACCTTTCCGCAACGCATCACAATACACAGAATAGCCCAAACTCTTCTCTGGAATAATCAACACTAGATCAGTGGTAAGTCTAACCTTAAGCTCTTGAAATGACTTCTCACAAGTCTCACTCCACAAAAACTTGATTCCCTTCCTCGTAAGCCTGGTTAAAGGTGAGGCTAATCTAGAGAAATCCTTCACAAACTGACGATAATACCCTTGTCAACCCCAATAAACTACAAATCTCAAAAGCGTTCTTAGGTTGTTCCCAATCTTGCACTGCTTCTATCTTAGAAGAGTCTACAGTCACCCCTTCCCCGGATACCACATGGCCTAAGAACTTTACTTCTTTCAACTAGAATCCACACTTCTCGAACTTAGTATATAGTTTGTGGGGTCTAAGCAACTCAAGCACAACTCGTAAGTGTTCCTCATACTCTTCCTTAGAGGGTGAGTAAATCAAGATATCATCAATGAAGACAACTACAAAATAGTCTAGGAACTCACGAAAGATCCGATTCATCAAATCCATGAATATGGCCAATGCGTTGGTTAACCCAATAGGCATCACTAGGAATTCGTAATGGCCATACTACGTACGGAATGTCATTTTCTAGATATCCTATTCCTTCACTCTCAATTGATGATAGCCCGATCTCAAGTCCATCTAAGAGAAACAACAAGACCCTTTCAACCGATCAAACAAATCATCTATACGGGGCAATGGGTGCTTGTTCTTAACAGTTACCTGGTTCAACTTCCAGTAATCAATACAAAGTCATAATGCACCATCTTTCTTCTTGGCAAAGAGAGTCGGTGCTCCCCAAGGCGAAGTACTAGGGCGAATAAAATCATTTTCTAACAATTCCTAAAGTTGAATCTTCAAACTCACTCAATTCGGCGGGTACAAATCTATATGGTGCCGTAAAAATCAGTGTCGTGCCAGGCACTAAATCAATAGAGAACTCAACCTCACGGTGAGATGGTAAACCAGTGAGATCCTCAAGAATGACATCCGGGTATTCACAAACTACCCTTGGTAACTCAACTCGGACCACATCACTCTCAGCACCCAAGAATGTAACAAGAATGAGAATAAGCACACCCTGACCACGTGAGTCACACACAGACAAAAAGGCTCTATCGACTCTATCCCCCGTGAAATAAAAACAATCACCACTCGAGGTATATACAGTAACCCTCTGATGGTAACAATCTATGACAGCTCGGTACGAGGACAACCAATCCATGCCTAGGATGGTGTCAAAACTCGACATGTCAATCAACACAAATGAAAAAATAAATCGGTGACCGGCAACCTCAATATCACAACCTCGACACCCCTAGTCCAAAACAACTTCACCACCAATAGGTGACTCTATCCTGAGCGGAGATGCTAACCGAGCCACTTCTAACCGCAACGCTGATTCAAATGCAGACTAGATAAAAGAATGAGATGCACCCGTATCAATCAACACATTGGCAATAGAGTTGCATAACAAGAAAGTACCTCTCACAATTGAAAGCGTTGACACTAAGTCTGGCATGGTACTAGCATACACACGCCCTGTAGGTCTCTGCTTTACTTGCTCACCCCTCAAAGCATAAGTCTGATGCACGGACTGAGCCGAAGAGGCTCCCTAATTGGCCTTCGATGCTTGAACTGATAGGATAGGCTGGTGGCTCTATGCCTACCTCAAACAAGACGCACTAGGTGTGCCACCTTACTGAGGGCAAAACCTCCTCACATGCCCTGACTATCTACACTAATAACAGGTAGGCTGCTATTCTCTCCCTTGACTCTGGCTCTAAGAATGAGCCGCCGACGATGCAGACTGTTGCCCTCCTCCTCTCTGCGGGCAAGTTGGAGACTTGTGACCCAACTAACCATAATTAAAACAAGAAAAGCCTCCCTAATTACCTCTCCCTAAACCCAAACTCAGCACATGAAATGTGGATCTAGACTGTGTAGCATGGATCTAGACTTTGACTCTTACAGTCTCGACTCTCCCCTTGAACTTCCTGACTCCTCCTGGAGCCCCTCATCTATTCTTCATCTGCCTGAACCACAGTTTCAAGATGAGTCGCCGCCTCCCCAAGGCGTCTGTAGTCCCTAATCATCGACCAAACTACTTTGAAAAGAAGCCTAGTCTGCAATCGCTTCTCGAATTCAACACAACGGCGTTCCTCCGTCACCACAAGCTCTAGTGCAAATCTAGAGAGGCTAGTGACAACTGCCTCACACTCAGCTACAGACAAGCTAAGTTGCTTAAGCTTCAGAAACCGATCCCTCAGCTTCTCCCTAGCAGTGGAAGGCAATAACTTGTCCTGAAAGGCATTGACAAAGGCCTCCCAAGTCACCCTAATGCGCTCACGTACATACTTCCACCACTTACCCGTATCTCCCTTTAGCTGGAAGGATGTCATAGTCACTCTCAGTCCGTCATCCTCGATGCCAAGCATCTCGAACGTTTTCACCATCTGTTCTAGTCACTCATCTGCCTTCAGTGGCTCTTTAGGATCACCCAAAAACTTATCTGGATTCTACTGGAAGAACTCCCTCTTCAAGAAGGACTGCCTTGTTTTAGCAACTTGGGCCTGGACTTGATTTTCAGCCCTAAGAAAGTCCATAGATTTTCGCAAAGATCTAGCCATTTCACGAGCCAACGCGCCCATGGCCTGCTGACCAACTAGTTTTGGCCACATTGGCTTGACCAACCCCTTCTTCTTGTGCCAAAATCTTATCTAGTAATAGCACCTCATGTCGTCTAGGCCTACCATGCCTATCACCACCACGTCTATGTCCTGATATCCTAATGAAGGTAACAAAAGAGATTAGCACATTTACAAATATGTCGAAGCTAACTCACTCGCGTCCTAAGGCAATGGACAACAGTAATTCACTCCACATAAGCATGTCGTCACAAAAACACATACAAATTTTCTTCCTAGATAATGATCGTCCTGCCGCATTGCCAAAGTTCCAATTAGAAATAGCAGTGATCAAGTGTTCTTCTAATAGAACTTCTAGAAACCTAGAGACCTAACCATTATCTTAGAAATTTAATCTCATACCCATATAATCACGTAGCATACCAAATATACAAACATCTCTATCAAGCGAGATAAACCCATTGTGGTAAGAACCACTTTCCACGTATCCAAAGTATTCAAACTTGGTACGCTCTGAAACCAAGTTGTAACGCCCCAAAATAATTACAATAACCCATTCACAACATCATCCATTAGTTTCCAAATAAGTTTTACAAAAGAGTAACATATGCTGATATACACTCACAAGCTTAACCTTGAATCTATAGCATATGTTGCATAATAGGGAAGTAGAAAGAAAGTTAGGCAAATAAAAAATTCCCTAAAGGCTTAAAACTTTCCAAGACGGTGCTTGGTTACAACAAAAGTAGAATTTAAGTCCAATGCAGTTAAAGGCCATCGGCCTGTACAAAACATATACAACAATCAATAAAATGAAGCCCTTGCTCCAAGTCCTCCCAAGTTATTGCCTTGACGGAGGCATCTCATCAGCACCTAAAATATTTTTCCCACATAGGGTGAGCCAAAGTCTAGTAGAAATAATCCAACACAGTATATAAATCTTAATAAAGTCATAAGGTGAATGCATATGCAATGCTCATGCCAAAACATTTTATATCTCTTTCCAAAACCATGTAATGCTAGGTTATTATCACAATTCATAAATCATTTCTTTTCCAATAGAAAACAGGCTTTCCAATAGAAAACAGGGCAGTGAATCACACTCTGGGAATCTCAAAACAAATTTAACCGTTCACAAAAATTTTGTCTGCGGGAAACCGTAAACCGATACCCATGTAAATGTAGACTATACAAGCACTACTGCTGCCATTTCACAAAAATTTCGTCCGCAGGATCAGCACCCATGTATAGGCGCGATTTTAAGGACTTTCACCATGGATACGCAGGCCAACTTATTTCAACGAGACAATACATACTTCCTAGATTCATCTATTTTGCTCAAAACGATAAACATTTCCAATGTAAAAATGCTAGATAATGCTCAATGCAATTGAATGAGAAAATAATTTCAATTCTCCTAATTCTCATGCAATTTCTACAACAATCATGGCTATCCTACACTGATAACCCAAAATAGATATTTCTAAACAGATAAACAATTATCAATAAGAATAAACTTTCCAAATTTCAAGATGTGAATGATAATACATATCCAACTCCACTATCCTCATCAAAACCAATCCAATTTCATATTCCCAACACCAATTCCATAATTTATATAAAATCAGCATTTGACACAATTAGGGCAAAACCCTATTTTCTTCCAAAATCAATTCTATATATCAAAACCAACTATTTTATCATAACTCAATCTCATTTCCAACTCCACAACCATTTCTATGAAACCATCAGAAAACCCCTCTTGAGTTTTGACCAAAAACCCTAGGTTTGTTTCAAAAATTCCAAAATCACAATATTGTTTAGAAATCGCAAATAACAAAGTCAAAACTCATAGAAGGTGCGAAGAATCCCTACCTCAAGCTTAGAAGACGAGAGAGAGAATGGAGATACTTCAAAGAAGTCGAAACCCAATTTTGTTCGGATCAAATGGAAGCCCACGGCGTGCTCTACCTTTTTAACAAAAGGACACGAGTGAAAAGATCGACGGATCTAGGTGTATTCGAGGAAAATATATGAGCTTTAGAGAGAGAGTGAGAAAAATTAAGGTTTTGAAATGTTTAGAGAGAGAGAAATAAAAAAGTGATTCAAAAGTGACTCCTCACGATCTGATATACGCATAGATCGCTCGAGCGCAAGAAGTGTCGCTTAAGCGACCAGACACAACAAGTTGCACCACTCGAGTGCAAGAAGCTTCACTTGAGCGAAGAATACCAACTCCCAGAAGTTTTACAAACAGAAGACCACCGCTCGAGCACAAGAAAGCTCGCTTGAGCGAACACCGCTTGAGCGAAAAATGCCAACTCCTAGTATCTCTACAGACCTGCAAAAGTACTGGAGGTTCATAAGGACCGCTCGAGCACAAGAAATGTCGCTCAAGCGAAGAAGCAAAATCCTAGACACTAACGCAACCAACACATCCCAATAACCAAACTCAAACAGAAATAAGGGAAAACAAGACATGGACAACTGTATAAGACAATGAAACCTTGATCCAAAGAATTCAATGGGTTGGGTCTAAACCATAATCACTATACTGTTACTTATGTAGTATATTTGCTCAACCGCTTTCCAATCAAGAGATTATTAAACAAGACCCCTAAAGAATGGAGCTTGAGAAAGCCAAAAGCTGATCATTTAAGGATTTTTTGATGCACAACCTATGCAAAATTCTAAACGAGAAAAGAACGAAACTAGAAGATAAAGGCCAGAAATGTGTTTCATCGGCTATGGAGAAAAGTGAAGTTTTTTAAAAATTCAAGGAATTCAAATCCTTAGTTGAAAAACATAGTGGATATTTCATAAAGACAATGAGATCTGATTGTGGAAAAGAATATACCTCAAAGGAATTTGAAAGATTTTGCAAAGAAAATGGGATTATTCATTAACATACTATCCCATATACACCTCAACAAAATGGTGTCTCAGAAGGAAAGAATAGAACGATCCTAAATATGGTTCATTGCATGATTAAAGAAAGAGTTATGCCAAAAGAGCTCTGGGAAGAAGCTGTTGTTTGTGCAGTATATTTGCTCAACCGCTTTCCAACCAAGAGATTATTTAACAAGACCTTTGAAGAAGCATGGAGCTTAAGAAAGCCAAAAGCTAATCATTTGAGGATTTTTGGATGCATAGCCTATGAAAAAATTCTAGACGAGAAAAGAACGAAGCTAGAAGATAAAGGCTAGAAATTTGTTTTCATCGGCTATGGAGAGAGTGGATAAAAGCTTTATGATCTCATCACAAAGAAAGTATTCTATTCAAGAGATGTTGAATTTGATGAAGCATCAAGCTGGAATTGGCAGAACCCAAGTTAAGAAATAGTTCTGATAATCAATAATGAAGATAATCTAGCCACTGGAATTGAAGTCTGTTGTCACCCACATTCACCTCAAGAGGGGGCAAGAACAAGAATGAGCACTCCACAACTTAGTACACAACAAGAAAATGCCAGCTCTTCATCAACAATAGAGAATATAGTAGGTAAGACTAGAACCATTCAAGATCTATATGATGTTACAAGAAGACTTGAAGATGATGAAGATTTCACAATGTTTTGTCTATTCTTTGGAAGTAATCTTATTCACTTTGAAACAGCACAAAAGGAAGACATATGAAGACAAGCCATGAATGCGAAAATCCAAGCCTTAGAAAGAAACAACACCTAGGAACTTACATCCTTACCAGAAGGACACAAAGTAATTGGTGTCAAATGGGTGTATAAGACAAAAAGAAACACTAAAGGAGATGTTGAAAAATACAAAGCAAGATTGGTCATGAAAGGCTACAAGCAACAATATGGTATAGACTATGATGAAGTTTTTTCTCCAGTAGCACGTCTTGAAACAGTACGACTTTTTTATCTCTTTAGCAGCCTAGAAAAAATGGAAGATATACCAAATGGATGTCAAATCAGCATTCTTAAATGGTTATCTTGAAGAAGAAGTGTACATTGAACAATCATTAGGCTATGTGAAGCCAGATCAATAAGCTGAAGTATATAAGTTAAAACGAGCGCTTTATGGCTTGAAGGAAGAGCCAAGGGCATTGTAACGACCCCAAAGTGCGTATCGAAAATTATCTTTAACTAATTGTGAGCTAATGTACTTTAATTTAATGATATCTGTTCGAATTGAAGAATTATGTGTTGAGCTACGACTTTAAAACTGAAATTGACAACCTTTATGGGTTCAGGAATCGAAATTGGGTACATAGATATGTTAATGAGAATTTTTAGAGCTATTTGGGAAAATAAATTGGAAATTTTTTTCATCTGATTCGTTAAGGTACGTTTGGGTGGTTAACTTTGCACTACAAATTGAAGGCCTTAGAGGCTTCAGAAACTAGAACGGAGTACATAGTTATGATTAGAGTAATTTTTAGAATCATCTGTGAAGTTTAATTGAAAATCTATTTCGTCTGATTCGCTAAGTTAGGTTTGGTTGGCCATATAGGTATACAGACTTGTTTATATATATTTTGAGCCATATAGTTGCATAAAACTCAACCAAACACCAAAAAACATCTCCTGGAAAGAGAGAAAAGAGGAGAAAAGAGAGAGAATGAGAGAGCTCACCTTAAGCTTGTGGATTTGAGAAAGGGAAATCAAGAAGATAGCTTAAGTAAGTCCTAGATACTCTAAATCTTGTTTTAATTGGTTAGAATCAAACCTTAAAATGAAGTTTTCTAAGTGTATGGGAGTTAGGGTTTTGGGTTATGGTCTCAACTTAACCAATTTCATGAAATTGAAGAGATAGTCATTGGATTTGGCTAATTTAAGGGTTGATTCT